GCACTTTGGACTTCCTCTCTGAGTATCATTGGCTCTTGTTCATATGGTATCTCTTGAAATGGTTGAACATTAACCATTTCCTTTTGGTACAATGCTTATGGATGTAGGAGCTCAAAATGACAACTGAGAGAGAAGGTGTCTTCACATCAAGTATCAATCTTATCCCCTCTGTATACAGGGTTCATAGGGACAAGCAACTTAGACATTGGCTACCTAAAATAGGGCGACTATAAAGTCATGAAGTGACTGGCTTAAAAGTTTTCAAGAGGGAGTTTAGTTTCAGAGTGTGTGGGGGAAGGCAGAATTCCCACTGAATAGTTTTCATATTGTCTAAATGGGTCTGGTGAAAGAAGATAGGGATAAGATTCTTATGATTCAACAGTGAGTTATTGTTATCATGGCAAATTGCTACTATCACAACTATAAAGGTAGAAGTTTTGTAACAAAAAGGGGGGAGCAGTTAATCTTACGGTCCAGGAACAGAGAACCCTAGGACCATCAAAGGAGAAGAGCACAAGCAGAATGTGGGGCCCTATCCAGAGAGGCAGTGATATCAGAGATGGAGGCAGAGATGAGAACATGGAGAGAGAGAGCACCTGAGGACTCTAGACTCATGGAAAGAGAAAGGCTGCCAGGAAGCCAGCTTACAAAATGTGCCCTTTGGTTGTTTAAATGATTTTGTGTATATACACTGGTTTTGTGTATATCCCCTGTTTTCCCACCAAAGGAAAAACAAAACAAAACAAAGGGAATAGAAGCAAATACTGTTGAATGATGATGCACGGAGGAGATTGTAATTTTTGCATTGAAACGATGAGTGTAAAACCAATGTTCTCCCATGTAAACTATTACTCAATTCATAATAAGTTTGTTTGTTTGTTTGTTTGTTTTTGAAAAAGGAAGATACCAGTATTGGTGAGGATATAAGCAAACTAAAACACAATGAAACCATGTCTGATCCTGCACCATCCTCACAATTGTTATGTTTGAACCTAATTGTTGTCCTTTGTAACAACATGTACAAAGTGCTAGACACACATTCTCAGTATTCTGGTTTCTAAGGAGCATTCTGACTGCATTTCTTCCAACACATATTTGTTATTTTGCTAGTCCATGGTACTTTCAATATTGTACTCTAACACCATAATTCAAGTGCATCAATTCTGTGGGCTTCCTTATTCATTGTCCAACTTTCACATGCAGAGGAAATGATTGAAAATGCCATGGCTTGGGTAAGGTGCACCTTAGTCCTCAAAGTGATATCTATACTCTTTAACACTTTAAAGAGGTCTTTTGCAGCAGATTTGCCTAATGCAATATGTCCTTTGATTTCTTGGCTGCTACTTCTATGAGTGTTGATTGTGGATCTAAGCAAAATGGTCTTTGACAACTTAGATCTTTTCTCTGTTTATCATGACATCATGTATTGGTCCAGTCATTGGGATTTTCATTTTCTTTACACTGAAATGCAATCCATACTGATGGCTGTAGTCTTTGATCTTCATCAGTAAGTACTTCAAGTCTTCTTAGCTTTCAACAACTTATGCTATGTCATTTGCATATTCAGATTGTCAATGAATCTTTCTCCAATTCAGATGACATGTTCTTCCTTACACTGTCTAGTTTTTTTGATTATTTGCTCAGCCTACAGAACAAATAAGTATGGTGAACTGACAGAACCATGATGCACACCTTTCCTGATTTTAAACTGTTCAGTATCCCCTTATTCTGTTTGAATAATTACCTCTTGGTCTATGTACATGTTCCAAATGAGCATAGTTGAGTATTTGGGATTCTCATTCTTTGAAATACTATGTATAATTTGTTATAGGTATGCTTTTGTATAGTCATTAGAATATAGGTAAACATCTTTCTGGTATTCTCTGCATTCAGTCAGGATCCATCTGACATCAGCAAAGATATCCCTTACTCCACATCCTCCTCCTGAATCTGGCTTAAATTTCTGAAAGTTCCCTGCTGATATACTGCTATAAACGTTTTGTAATATCTTGAGCAAATTTTTATTTGCATGTGATACTAATTATATTGTTTGATAATTTCCACTTTCTATTTGGTTACCTTTCTTTGAATTGGGCACAAATATGAATTTCTTCCAATCATTTGGCCAGATAGCTGTCCTCCAAATTTCTTCACACAGACTAGTGAGTGTTTCCAGCACTCTATCAGTTTGTTAGAACATTTCAATTTGTATTCTATCAGTTCCTGGAGACTTGCTTTTCACCAATACCTTCAGTGCAGATTGAACTCCTTCCCTCAATATCACCTGAGTTATATGCTACCTCTTAAAATGATTGCTACATCTTAAATGCTCCTTAGAAGCAAGGATGGTGAGACTTTTTTTCTCATTATTTGTATATGTTGTCAGGAGGGACCAGTCTCTTAAGAAGGACATCATGCTTGGCCAAGTAAAGGGTCATCAGAAATAAGCTTGACTGACACAGTACCAGCAACATTGGGCTCAAACATATGATAATTGTGAGGATGGCACAAGATTGGGCAGTGTTTCATTCTGTTTTGTATTAGGGTTGCTATGAGTTAGAGTCAATTTTATTGCACCTACCAAAAACAATGAAGTGGCTGAAAGTCAACCAGTTATTTTTGTACCATGACTCTGCATATTCCTTCTATTTTCTTTTGATGTATCCTGCATTGTTCAATATTTTACCTATTGTTGTTTTTGCTAAGTGCCATTGAGTCAGTTCCAACCCATAGCAATCCAGTACAGGGTTTCTGAGGAGTAACTGGTGAGCTTGAACTGCCAACCTTGAAGTTCAAATCGATTTTGTAGT